CACAAGAGAGAGCTACATTTGGGTTATGCTGTTGGTGTTGCCCTGTTGGGCATGGACATTGACTCACGATTCTTCTGTATCATTCTCAATTGGATGGTTACTCGGTTCCATGTGCTATCTGCTTTGGCTTTGACTACTTCAGTGTGATTTTGCATTCTGGATTTCTGTGCTTCGTCCATACTCATGTTCCTTGCACATCCCTTGGATCGAACTGCCCTTGTTGACTGTGCCCTCCCTTTCCCTTGCCTGCGGCTGTTGCTGTTGGTGTTGCCATCGCCCCTGCCGGGGCATGTCGTCGTTCCTCAGAACTATGGACATGAGTATGGGCGTAATTATTCGGTCGCCACCGCCCCCACCGTGAGAGTGGTGAGGAACGGAGGGTCGTCCCATGCTCTACAAGCATCGAGAGCGTCCTCGTCCAAGAGAGAACGCAGGAAGATGATTTGCTCTTCTGCCGACCATATTGAATTTGTTCCCATACGGGACACCGGGGCATCCAGCAGTTCCTGGCTGGAAAACCAGGTAATGTGCTCGTCGGACGAGTCCTGATTCGAACTCGGGTTGTAAATGATGAGGACCGGTGTCACCCCTTTGGGGAAGGGGAGGTCCTGCGGGAACACTGTACCAATCGCTCCCTGATCCTCCTGCTGGGCGATGTGATTGCGGAGCATCTGCCTAGTCAGTCTGGTCGACGTGTGGGGTGTATCGTCTCTCCATCCTTGGATCGTGAGGCCCGGCGGTGCTTCGATCGTGTGTTTGAGAAGGCGGCTGGCAATCCTTGGTACCCTGGGAGTAACACATTTGAGGCCAATCTGCCAGCCCCCCCCCCCGTGCGGCTACGGCGTATTGGCAGAATCACCATTCCCTCTTTCATTCTTTCGTCAGTCCCCCTTGGCCCCGGGCTGACCGCAGTGGTGAGGCAGTCGCGAAAAAGGGTTCTTTTTTGGATCGATTTTGCTATGCCCTCTGGCCGTCAAGTACGTACTGCTCTGATACCAATTGTTGTGATCCTGGCTACTCCTAAGTGCAATGATGCAAAGAAAGACAATGTCATTCAATTGCAAATCAAATGAAAGAACTTGGAAAGAGAAATAGACAAGGAAGAAGAAGAACAAAGAATGGAAGAAGAAGAACAAAGAATGGAAGAAGAAGAAGAAGATGTATACCAGCAAAGACCAATGCCCGTCCAACTCGCCATCACCTTCAACCTCTTCAATAGTAATAACAATGAAAGAAAGAACCAGAATCTGAATCCGAATCGGAATCTCCTCCTTACTGCCAGCAATACATGAGGCCCACAATAGCCACGACCTACACCTTCTTCCTCCTCCCTAACGTAGGTGGCTATGGTGGACTAGTGGAGCCCCGATGTTCAGGACAACACAAAGCTGATATGTCCCCTCTACTGTGGCCGCCATGCCAAACTTTGCCCTGAAGCCATCCCTGAAGCAGCACACTCCCACTGGGGCCTTCCAGGTGCAGCACCACCCAAGGAGATGAAGATGTTGTCCACCATAGCTGGGTAAGTACCCCGTTACTCTCCTCCTAGCTCACCTTCTTCGTCCTCCTCCTACCTGGACTGTTCCACCATAGCGAGAGCTGCAGCGCCAGGCGTCCTCCTTCCTCCCCAGCGCTGAGCACAGGCAGCGTGACGCCAAACTTGCACACCGTGAAATGAGGAGGAGCACTTCGTTCCTCCAAGATATATACCAGGAAGCTTGCCTCTTGGACGGTGACTTTCCAGGCCGCTTGGCCTTCCAAGCATCCGGTACCTTCCTCCTTTCGGAGGGAAACATCATTGCAGGTCCAATATAGTCCACTAGAGGCCCTAGACTCAGACTACTGGACTGGTACCCCTAGACCTGGGTCTACCAGACTTCTAAAATTCACTCGGCCTCTAAAGGTACTAACTTTTTGTCTTCTTCTGCCTACCTACCCGATACTCACGTATTTTCCTACCTACACGGGCCTAACCTACCTGCTACTTGAGCGTTTCCAAAGCCTATCGCTACACCCCGCTGCAACCCACAAAGCCACAGCCACAGGTAAGTACCAGGCCCGAGGGCCTTCCAAACACACAAGTACCTTGACGGGTCACACACACACCCAAGCAATCATACAATCAGACAAGCACAAGAGAACCCGCAAGCACACACACACACACACAGAATTAGAAATATCAGCAGAAAGCGGGAATCTCAGTGATTCCCACATTCCAGCGGCAAAACTCAGAAATCAGCAGAGTTCTCAGTCTGTGATTTTGCTGGTCATTACACAAGCATGTACTTTTAGAGTTTGTAACTTTGTGTTCATTGTGCGTGTTTTTTAACTAAACACTTTGATCAAGGAGATCCCTACAGTCTTGCAGCACATATTTGAAAAAGGCCACTTCATGCAAAGTTGTGAATTTGGTGGTCTTCCTCTGCATACTCGAGTACCATGCTTGCATGCAGTCCACATCCCGGTAAAGCAGCTACAACATCCACTGATTCCACTTCAATTTGTGGATGTAATTTGCTGCATATGTTGGCTGTGCAGCGTGCTACATATTGTCCTTTATTTGAGTGATGTCAAGTTTGTGAAGTAATGTGCTTAATGTATATTCACACTGCTATGTAGTTTATGTGAGTACATATCATGCATATCATACCTGCTCATGCAGGGCACATGATTGAGCCACAAGAGAACCATGAGACTCAAGGGCAGCAAGAAGGCTCTGAGCGGCTGCATTGAGGACTTCCACATTGTGGGTCCACACTGCTGTGGCGCTCTCACCTTTGCCGTTGACTCCATGGACAGCAGGATGGCTGCTATGGAATTCTGCAAAGGCTCCAGTCGCTGGAAACTCATCATGAGATAAGGACAACTTATCTCCACCACCAATGGACAAAGTGCTTCTTCCTCGAGCAGGCACCATTTGTGCTTGATCAGGGCTATCTCCTAGCCGATCCTGAAGATCGTGCACACTCTGCTCAACCTGATTTTCCATTTGCCATACACACACACACACACACACACACACACACACACACACACAAACACGCCGCTCAATAACTTGCAATTTCTTGCAAAATTTTGGGCTCGTTTTTTTTTTTTTTTTTTTTTTAAGTAAAAGAAGAAACACCAGCTTCCAGAGTTGGCTGCAAGCCTGGAGAACCTCATGGAGTTCAGTACGCTCTGCAGAGTCTGCACAGACCATTACAAAGTAATACAAATGGATAAAAAATTCAAGCGGCCTTTTGCAGCCGGCACAATTTGGGCACATATTTTTTTGGACCATATCTCAATTTATGTGTCACATCCTTGTGCAGAGTCCATGCTTCTCTGTATCATTCGAAATTTAGGACGGGGCACAGACAATTTTTTATTTTGATTTTATTATTATTACTATTATTATTATTATTATTATTATTTTTTAAGGCCTTATGATCCTGGCTCCTTCCCATTCTTGGGAGTTTCAGTCTGGCTCGTTTTCCACCAGCAACGCTGCAAGTCGAAATGATACAGCATGAGAGATCCACAAACTTCTTTCCGTTAAGACTGAAGGACACCCTGAACAGCACTGATTATTCTCCGAAAGGAGGATTGACTATCAGCCTTGCCTTTTCCTTCTTGAATTCCTCTAGAGTCTATTCATTGGTAGACTGACAGATCATCTGTAGTTCCTAGAATCTTCAGAAGCATGCCAGTCCCTTGTGCGTACGTTTTCTCGAGTCCCTCTTGGTCTGTACATAGACAGGCTGCCAAATCAGCCCGGAGTGCTAGAGCTTTGAAAAGATCGCGGCAGTCCCTTCATGACTCCAAAATCCGCTGTCCTTATGATGCTCCCTTGAGCCCCCTTGCTCTCCTTGTCTATTATGTCCCTATTAGATTGCGGTCATTATAGGAATTGTCTGTTGTTGATCTGCTTGAAGCCTCCGAGTTGTGCTCCTCTTTCCATCCCAGATAGAACCCGTTGATTGTGGCCAACCCCTTGATGTTGGCCAGCTACATGCGCTGGAATTTGTGTTGATTTTCCTCTTGCCCTTCGCTGTGTCCTTGAGGCCCCTGCCTACCGGACCAAAATGTCTGGCGGCATCAAGCAAAATAAATCCAAAGCACGCCCTTGGCGGTTTGCTTTTTATTGGTGCGCAGCGCGAATCCGCATCGGGAAAGAGGGGCCCGGAAGCACTGGTGGGTTTAACCTGGAGGCGTACAGTCGTTGACGCTTTACGATCATACTTAGACTTCCTTCCCTGCTGATTGTCCACACTGATGCACTCATTATTTCGGTCAGATGCTTGGGGGTCTCAGCACATAGCCAGATTGGGCTTTGACATTATTGTGGGGGGTGGGTAGGAGATGTGGCCATAGATCACTCACTGCAGACCATAGCTCTGTTGTCCCTCTAGATCTAATCAGGCAGCCTTCGCGTTCCTTGTCGGGGCAGACAACGCATCAGAGAGAACTGTTACCTGCCTCCCCTGAATACAACGTAGGGTCATTATAGCTGTATTTGGTGTATCTTTGAGTCTTAATACAGGTATAATGACTGTATGTCAGGGTTGCATCCCTGCCGACCGCCGACCCCCACCGCCGACCGTATTACAGCCGACCAGTTGGGCCGACCGGTCGGTGGTCTGCCGACCAGTCAGGAAAAAAAAAAAAAAAAAAGTTAAAAAAACATCCACTGATTTTTTTTCAAATCTGAGTTGGG